TGCCGTTTATTCTTGTTCCAGCGCGTTTTATTAGGGCCCCAAATCAAAATCATACCTAATAGCTGGTCGGGTTCCAATCCAGAGACGCTATCCAGTCCGCAAACGACGAAGTAATCAATAAGTCGCTGTCCTCCATTAGTTGCAGACATTATGCGTTCTTCTCGTGGCGTATTTCATGCGAAAAGCAAGACAATTCAAGCATTTCGTGGCCAGAAATGCAAAGATAAAATCGGCATCTCAGGAGTAGGTCGAAGTTCTGCTTTGTTTTTGTATCGGGATTTTTAGCGACCGCGCGTGAGGTGTGAAAAAACTGGGAACGAGGATGTGGAATTGAGGAGAATACCGCTGTGCGCGTGAATTGTGGGCTCTATTAGCCAAAAATTACTGGGACTGACTGAGACTAGTGGGAAAGACCGCTGGGTGAATGATTTCTCATACAGTGGGCTCCGGAGGCAAGAGAAGACTGGGACTAGTGGAGAATACCACTGACTGAATTTTTCATACAGTGGGCTCTGGTGGTAAAAAAAGACTGTAACTAATGAGGAAGACCGCTGACTGAATAATTTCTCATACAGTGGGCTACAGTAATAAAATTTCCAGAAATTTTGAATAAAATTACTAGAAATTTGCTTAGGAAGGCAAATTTTTGCTATCTCTTCATATCCGAAATGGTTTCTTGTTTTGAATCGGATGCACGTTCGTGAGCGCGGAAAAGCGCACAAGTTGTTAGAGGTCTGCAAACAAGTTGTTACAAATCTGTTCACAAGCTGTCGACAAGTTGTGTTCGCACTGCTTGGTCCCAGTTGTTGTAACAAGTTTGGAACAAGCTGTTAACAACTATCAGACTTGTTTCAAAGTTCTAACAAGTCTGATGCAGCCATGATATAACAAGCTAGAATGTTACAAGGCTGTTCTAACAAGTCTGATACAGTCACGATATAAAAAGAATGTTACAAGGTTGTTCTAACAAGTCTGATGCAGTCATGGTATAACAAGAATGTTAATATTGTTTTTTCACGACTGTACCGGACTTGTTAGAACACCTTGCCACTGCAAGTCTGATAATGTCATCAAGTTTGTTACAAGTTGTTAACAGCTTGTTCTAAACTTGTTGACAACTTGGGACAATTAGTGCGAGCACAACTTGTTGACGGCTTGTTAGCAGACTTGCTACAAGATGTGAGATTTTTACGTGTGTAGATTTGAATTTGTGCCATCAAGATTTGAAGTCATTCTAAATACACACGTAAAAAGGTCTAAAAACGCCCCCAAGTTATTACAGGTCTGCAAACAAGTTGTTACAAATCTGTTTACAAGCTGTCGACAAGTTGTGTTCGCACTGCTTGTTTCCAGTCGTAGTAATAAGTTTGGAACAAGCTGTTAACAACTTGTAACAAGCTTGATGGCATTATCAGACTTGTAGCAAAGTTGTTCTAACAAGTCTGACACAGTCATGATATAACAAGAATGTTACAAGGTTGTTCTAACAAGTCTGATACAGTCATGATATAACAAGAATGTTACAAGGTTGTTCTAACAAGACTGATACAGTCATGATATAACAAGAATGTTACAAGGTTGTTCTAACAAGTCTGATACAGTCATGATATAACAAGAATGTTACAAGGTTGTTCTAACAAGTCTGATACAGTCATGATATAACAAGAATGTTGCAAGGTTGTTCTAACAAGTCTGATACAGTCATGATATAACAAGAATGTTACAAGGTTGTTCTAACAAGTCTGATACAGTCATGATATAACAAGAATGTCACAAGGTTGTTCTAACAAGTCTGATACAGTCATGATATAACAAGAACGTTACAAGGTTGACGACACAAGGTTGTAACATTATTGTTATATCATGACTGTATCGGACTTGTTAGAACAACCTTGCCACAAGTCTGATAATATCAACAAGGTTGTTACAACTGTTAACAAGTTAACTGTTTCAAACTTGCTGACAACTTGGGACAAGCAGTGCGAACACAACTTGTTGACGGCTTGTTGGCAGACTTGCTACAAGATGTGAGATTTTTGCGTGTGTAGTTCGTCTTGTTTTTACATGCGTAAAAATCTCACATCTTGTAGCAACACTTGTGTTCGCACTGCTTGTCCCAAGTTGTTGGCAAGTATGGAACAAGCTGTTAACAACTTGTAACAACCTTGTTGATATCATCAGACTTGTTACAAGGTTGTTCTAACAAGTCCGATACAGTCATGATATATCAATATTGTTACAACCTTGGGTCGTCAACCTTGCAACATTTTTGTTATATCATGACTGTATCAGACTTGTTAGAACAATTTTGTAACATTCTTGTTATATCATGACTGTATCAGACTTGTTAGAACAACCTTGTAACATTCTTGTTATATCATGACTGTATCAGACTTGTTAGAACAACCTTGTAACATTCTTGTTGTATCATGACTGTATTAGACGTGTTAGAACAACCTTGTAACATTCTTGTTATATCATGACTATATCAGACTTGTTAGAACAACCTTGTAACATTCTTGTTATATCATTACTGTATCAGACTTGTTAGAACAACCTTGTAACATTCTTGTTATATCATGACTGTATCAGACTTGTTAGAACAACCTTGTAACATTCTTGTTATATCATGACTGTATCAGACTTGTTAGAAAAACCTTGTAACATTCTTGTTATATCATGACTGTGTCAGACTTGTTAGAACAACCTTGTAACATTCTTGTTATATCATGACTGTATCAGACTTGTTAGAACAACCTTGTAACATTCTTGTTATATCATGACTGTATCAGACTTGTTAGAACAACCTTGTAACATTCTTGTTATATCATGACTGTATCAAACTTGTTAGAACAACCTTGTAACATTCTTGTTATATCATGACTGTATGAGACTTGTTAGAACAACCTTGTAACATTCTTGTTATATCATGACTGTATCAGTCTTGTTGGAACAACCTTGTAACATTCTTGTTATATCATGACTGTATCAGACTTGTTAGAACAACCTTGTAACATTCTTGTTATATCATGACTGTGTCAGACTTGTTAGAACAACTTTGCTACAAGTCTGATAATGCCATCAAGCTTGTTACAAGTTGTTAACAGCTTGTTCCAAACTTATTACTACGACTGGAAACAAGCAGTGCGAACACAACTTGTCGACAGCTTGTAAACAGATTTGTAACAACTTGTTTGCAGACCTGTAACAACTTGGGCGTTTTTAAACGTTTGTAATGTGATGGTGCAAGTTCATCCGCGCTTTTCCGCGCTCACGAACGTGCATCCGATTCAAAACAAGAACCATTTCGGATATAAAGAGATAGCAAAAATTTGCCTTCCTAAGCAAATTTCTAGTAATCCTATTCAAAATTTCTAGAAATTTTACTACTGTAGCCCACTGTATGAGAAATTATTCAGTCAGCGGTCTTCCTCATTAGTTACAGTCTTTTTTTACCACCAGAGCCCACTGTATGAAAAATTCAGTTAGTGAAACAGTCAGTGGTATTCTTCACTAGTGCCAGTCTTTTCTCGCCTCCGGAGCCCACTGTATGAGAAATCATTCACCCAGCGGTCTTTCCCACTAGTCCCAGTCAGTCCCGGTCATTTTTGGCCAATGGAGCCCACAATTCACGCGCACAGCGGTATTCTCCTCAATTCCACATCCTCGTTCCCAGTTTCTTCACACCTCGCGCGCGGTCGCTAAAAATCCCGATACAAAAACAAAGCAGAACTTCGACCTACTCCTGAGATGCCGATTTTATCTTTGCATTTCTGGCCACGAAATGCTTGAATTGTCTTGCTTTTCGCGTGAAATACGCCACGAGAAGAACGCATAATGTCTGCAGCTAATGGAGGACAGCGACTTATTGATTACTTCGTCGTTTGCGGACTGGATAGCGTCTCTGGATTGGAACCCGACCAGCTATTAGGTATGATTTTGATTTGGGGCCCTAATAAAACGCGCTGGAACAAGACTAAACGGCTTCCTATATCTTAGTAATTTAGAGAGCTTTTAAAATAGACTATATGCTTTGGTATAAACTCCATCATGACTGCATAATTGTACATTTTTTTGTCAAAAACTTTGTTTAAAATACTGTCTAGGTTGTGTACATTCAATGTTTAATTTAAGTAAACCTGCACTGTTTCAGCGCTAAAACTGCTCGAAAACCTTTCTTAAAGGCACAACGCTTTAGAGAGGATTTAGAAAAGATTCTATGCT